TTTTCATTGAAACAACTGTAGGACACAAAGAATCGAGAGTCACTATACATGGTTTTGAGTTCTACCTTAACTAGACGTTGGTATGGTTTTCTGAACTACTGGAATCTGAGTTTGCCTTTAAGCAGAGATTCTACAACACTCCTCCTCACTCCACTCCGCTCCCTGCAGACTCCCTGGCCACCTTGCTGTTCTTTGAACCCACCAAGCACACGTGTGCCGCCCTGTGACCTTTGCACTGGCTGGTATCTGCCTAGACTACTCTCACTCCAGGCATCCACATGGTTAACTGCCTCACTTTTTTCAAGTCAGCTCTTATCCTCTGTGTCTATCCTATTTTCATAGCCTTATCCCACATGCCCCACCCGGCTGGCAATCAATCCTCCCTTAAACTGCTTTCTTCTATAACTTAATGCCTGCTACAAACTGTGTAACTTTTTAACACCCACTGTTTTTGCTTTGCTTACTTGTTTGTCTCACCAGAATATAAACCCCATTAGAGAAGCAACTCTTTGCTTTATTCATTAATGCATCTTAAGTACTTAGAACAGTACCTGACATCTAGTATTTGTTGAATGAGTGAAATGGTAAGTCCTATTCTATCCCACCTCAGAGTTTCTTGAGCATCACTTGAATAAAAAAGGGCTTGGGAAATTATGAAGTCCATACAAAAGTAGTCATTACTGACCACAGTCAATACTGCTGATGGTGTTTGTAATACCATTTCCATAGAACATACAATTTGAGACCTTATACAAGGACACTAAAACCTGCCCTACCTCTTGTCTTACTCTTTACCTGCTTTAAGTACCAGGCTTTTAAAGCTTTTCTTGTCCATAAGCTTCCCCAAATAGAGGATCACTTAAACAACAAACAAGAACAAAAAGGCAAAATTTTACAGTTTTCTACAGGACACACTGAAATTTCCTATGTGCTTTGTGACTGGTATCTGGACACTTTTCACTAACACTGGACCTGTCTTCTGAATTAACAAGTCCTCTATTATTATTAGCCTGGCCTAGAACAGTGGTTTGTGATCCTACTGGCTTGTTTATGCTTGGTTTTTTCCCAGCTGCTGTGCTAGAAATACATGCAAGTCTTGTTGTGCTCCTGAATGACATTTCATTCTGCCCTTCGCCTCATGTTTAACCAGCCAGAGCACAGCACAGCCTACACCTATCAAAGCTGACATCTGTGCCACTCTTGATTTTACCCGACAGAAAAAATTCTATTTTCTGCCAGTCCCTGTTGCTTTGCAACCCCTCAGCATTCCACAGGATTTGCTGATGTTGCAGAAGACATGGGACCTTCTTCATAGTCAGCCACGCCCCAGGCACAAAAGCGATCAGCAGGTGGCAATGGCTAAGACTCAGAGACAAAAAGGGGCAGTGGCAGTTTCAGCACTGGAAGTGTGCCCACAACGCAAGCAGGCTTCTCTCAGGCCTTCTCTCTCCTGGACTGTGTTAGCTGCAAGGAAGTGACATAGTAACTTAAGAATGTGACCATATCTGTGTTTTCAAGTACAGGAAATCCTCCAGACTCATAAACTTCCACTTCTGAGTATCTGGAATGTTTCCTAATTCCGATTCCTCTAACTGCACTCATGGTATTTCTACATGCAATGCAATTCTAAAGACCACATTATTTTTAATAATGTACTGAAAAAGGAGTCCGCCTTGGTACCCTGATTTTACATACTGAGTAACACTACCAACTGAATAATAATAAAAAAATGAATATAAAGAATACTCTAAGTCAGTCAGTGGGATTCAATTTTCAATTTGAATGAGACTTTTCAGTAAATTCTCCAGTGCATTCAGTATTATAAACCAAAACAGCACACTGGCACTGATGCAAGATTTCACTAATTATAGCAAAATTTCAGTCACAACTTTCTAATAAATCTGCCTAAAATTCAATTTACATGCAGCCTTCAGAACTGCTCTCAGAAATATTAACCTTAAATATTTTAAATAGAAACAGCTTATTAGTCTATCGAGGGCAGACGGGTTGTGGCTAATTTATGAAGAATCCTGTAGGTGAAGCTGAAGAATTTAAACTTTATTTTGAAATCAAATAGGAGAATGGCATGACCAAATCTTTGTTTTAGAAAGATCTAATGCAGACTGCATCGTGAGCTGTAAGGGTTTAAGTGACCAGAGACAGAGGAACTGGTTAGGAAACAAGTTGTGAGCTGGATGAAAAATGAAAATCTATTCGGGTGGTAATGAGGCTAGAGTGAAAGGGATGGAAATAAAAAAACAACATAGACTTGGTGACTGAATGGCTGTAGTGGAATGTATGAGCCTGAAGATTAAAAGGTAAGAGGAAACATGGATTTGAGAGTTCCTGAGATACAGGTGGTAATTGTAGCCACAGATATAGATGACATCCACAAAAAGTAGAAAAGGGAGTATGGATTAAAACCTTAGAACCAACATTTAACAACTAGGTGTGGAAAACAACCACCCTGAGAAGGATCCGGTAAGACAAAACTGAAAGGTGAAAAATGACAATACGGTAAGAGCTGTAGACAGCTGACCCACCAATCTTAATAAGCATTAAATCTTGGAGCAATGTAAACCGGGAGGAAAGGCTGTAACAGTTAAGCACGTGATTAGACTTTACGAAAGACTGTGGGAAAAAAGTGTAGATGTAAAAAAGGTATGTCTTTTAAATCTACAGATAACACAAAATGGAAGGCTAATATGACACACATCAAAATCTGAAGCCAAAGGGACAGACTTAATGATGGATCAAAATCAACAAAGTACAATTAAACAAGTTCAAATGTAAAGTTCTTATTTAGGTACAAATATCAATTGTTCAAAAATAAGACAAAGGTCCTGACTTAAAATAAAAGTTTCATTAAAAAAATAAAACAAATCCAAGTTTGATATGGGTCAATAAAGTAAGAGCAACTAAAAAGATACATACTCTTTGTCTTGTGTACCATAGTCATCACATGCTAAATATGACCAAAACAAGGGAGGCAAATCCCATTGTATTTAATCTGGTCTCAACACCTCTGGAGAATTACATTCAATTCTGGGTTTCATATTTTGAGAACACTGATGAATGAAGGATCTGGAAACCATACTATACACAGAACTGTTAAACTTCTGAGTAGATGTTAAATAGCATTGGTTTTGGGTAATATGACATCTGCCAAAGGAGATATTCTCAAATGGATTTGAATTTGTCCCTTCACCCAGTGCAAATTTAAGGGGAATTTTAATCCCTAAAGGGAATCCCCTTTAATTAAAATTCAGTAAAATACTATACCTTAAAAGAGCAAATTCCTTATAGAAAAATATTTTTGCTAAGCTTATTCTTCACAAATATGTATTCTAAGATAAAATATTACTGAGGGGAAAACAAAAATGCAACTAACTTACTAAAATTACATTATTTTCCTCTAAACAATTTAAAGTGGAAAAAAATGGAGCTTAAAGGTGAAATTCAGAAGCTATGTAGAAGAGTGACAAATTATTTAATAGATACTATACTGCAGTTAAGTATAGCAGGTTTAAAGTTACTTATTGCTTTTCATTATTCCTGTAGGCCTTCATGTTCCTAAATCTAAAATAGGACAGAAGTATTAATGTAACTGACAAAAATAAAGACTTAATATTTCCTATAAATTTATCTAACAACTTTAGGAGTGTAATTAATTATATAGATCCTTAGGTAAATCATTCATAATCAATCCTCGCAATCAAAACCATTAAGAGGCATGGAAAATACCCTTCTCTAACACAATCTGCTTTTAAATGTACTTGGATGAAAAAAAGGTCCTCTGTATTGCCTTATATACCACCAGAGATCAGATAAAGAAGTTTATACGTGTTTTTTTTCCTAAGCATAATGCATATAATTAAGGCAGATTTGAAACACAAATTGGGGGAATAATTTCTCATAGGAAGCAAGAATACAAATTTTCAAAAAATAATAAACCTTTATTATATGATCATCAATTGAATTAGAGTAGAAAAACACAAATGCTCATTCTCATTAAATGCTTTTCATTGTGTAAATGTACATTTATAAATGTAAATAAATATAAATTTATGTAAATTATTGAGAACTAAATTAAATCCAGCTCTTCCAATTCTTCAGTGATAAATTTCACTGAGTTATCACTGGTTTAATACTTGCAGTTTCTTCTCCTAAAATGCAATTTCTACTTCTGAGTCAGATTATGCGTAAGTGAGAAAACAGTATTTCTTGGACGAAACTCATTATTCCCTACTGCCCCTCCCATTTTTCCAAGTTTCTAATTAAGTTACTGCTGTGACTAAAGTATTCTTATAGTTAGAGATACAAACCTACTTAAATACCTTCTCACACGCTTTTCTTCCAACTCCACGAATCTTTGGAGGAAAGGACAAAAATAGCAATACACACCATAATAGAAATAAACGAGCTCAGAGCCACTGTTAAAATACCCTTTTATCATATTAAGTTCTCCTCACCAAGGACCAGAAATACAAAATCTACACCAAAAGCCTGTACTTCCTGGTTATGTGAATCTCAAACTTTTAATAAGGTTCTACTTAACTGTACTTAGATACGCATTTTTTTCATTAAATAATCCACTTTTGGTCTAGAAGACACTTCTGACTTTCTCCTGCTCTTGCAGCAAAACAAAACTATTGTTCTAATTACTACTGACCCATCAAAGTCGCCTGAAAGGCAGTAACAAAGAGTGAGTATTAGAGGGCAATGCTACGAGTAGCAAGGAGTGAGCTGGGAGTACTGGGTTTTACATTCCCATCAAAACTTCAGATCTACTCTGTATTTTCTTTTCCAAATCTTCTGGTAAAATTGACACTTCAAGATGATGTGCCATGCTGCTTTGATTTAAAGGTATGCATGCCGCAGACTGAGCAGATCAAATCAACTTAGGCCGGAAATTCAGTGTGCATTTTCTAAACCAAAGGTAGTTTACTGTGGAAGTCTAAACACATGCTAGATAGTGGTGGAAAACAACTCCAGACACTAAACTTGCACAGACATCCCACCAAGGACAGTGGTGGCCCAGCACTGTTCCATGACACCACATGACAGAGAGACTTAGCTTACACTATCACTTACTAAGGGTACAATTCTTAACAAGATATTCAACATCCTATGCTTCTGATTTTTCATCTACAAAATGGAGATAGTAGTGTCAAAGATTAAATATGGAAAGCACTGAACACAATGTCTGACACATAAGTATGAACTCAAATACTGCCAGTGAGTAAATAATTAACACAACCAAGAGTTCAGAATGCCATCAATATTACTTTTTTCTTTCTAAACAAACATTAATTATTAAGATCTAAACTAATTAAAGGCTAAGAAAGAAACTCAAGTCCTTCACAGTGAATTTAATTTGCAGCCTTCTAGTACCTCTAAGACAGGATAAAGGGCTAAAATCAGAGATCCTGTTCTTCAGTCTCATCTTTCATACCACTTATCAGAGGTGCCTGGGCAAATCATTCATTTCTACGCCTCTGCATTTCTTAGTGGTCTTCTCATACCATCTGTCCATCCCAATACAAAGGCACAGTGGTAGATTCAAATAAGGTATGACAAAATTTGAAGTTCTTTGTATATATATGAGACCAGTATTAACAAAGTACAACAGCTTAGCTATAATTCAAGTTTTTCCCATCAAAACTATAGGCAAACATCACTCATAAAGAACATGCAGTAAAAACGTAAAATAATGCAATTTGCAGCAACATGGATGGACCTGAAGGTCATCATTCTAAGTGAAGTAAGCCAGAAAGAGAAAGAAAAATACCATATGATATCACTTGTATGCAGAATATAAAAAAAGACAAACAAACTTATTTACAAAACAGAAACAGACTCACAGACATAGAGAACAAACTTATGGTTAGCAGGGGGTGAAGGGGGTGGGAAGGGACAAATTGGGAGTTCAAGATTTGCAGATACTAACTACTATATAAAAAATAAAGAAGTTTATACTGTATAGCACAAGGAAATACGTTCAGTATCTTGTATAGCCTATAATGAAAAAGAATGGAAGAATGAAAATGAATATATGCATGTATATGGATGACTGAAATACGCTGTTCATCAGAAAAAAATTAAATAATAAGCTATACAGAAACTCTGGGTATTTTTAAAAAAATTAAATATATTCTTTGCATTAATGATGAACAAATATTTGTAACAATTAACAATATAAGGCAAAGTCACAGTAATTCTATTAATTTGCTAAAAAACTTATTCTTCTCCCTGTTTAAAAATATCAATTAAAAATCATTTTATCAGATACTTAGTAAGATTAACTACAAAATCATTTTAACTGTCCTAGAGTTTTACAAATGCTACAAGATATTTAGTTATTAAAATGAAAAAATGCAACTTACTTGTATCTGACAGTTTGTACAGTTTCTGCTGAAACATTGTTAACAATGCATTTAGCTGCACATTCCAATCCCTGCCAGACAGTCGAAAATCCTGCAAATACATTCAAAAGTAAGTAAAACTAGCCCTAAGCAAACAGACCTTCCTAAATTTCTGAACCTTTATGTTACCTTGAACACTACTTGCTGCTACAACCATAGCACCATCCAGTGTAGACTTCCCATTTCTGTCTTTTTTAAGAGATTCTGGAACAAGTTTGCTTCCATGCTTCTTGACATGTGGAGCTAGCTCCTTTCCAACACAATTTGCTACAGTACAAACTCCATCAACTATAGAACCATAAAAAAAAAATTAGAAAAAAAGTATTCTCCCCATGATTTTATCATTCTTCCTTAGCAGAATTCTCCCATGAGCATGTAAAACTGTTTTACTGTATAATGTTACCATTCCTATTTAAGGTTGAAAACAAGGCTGGTTATTTTTCAACCAAATGCTATTGTTTGGTAAAAGGATGTGCTTGCAGAGCTTACTGCCTCTTAAATACGTTTTTGGCAATTTGCTTAGAAGAAAATAAAATCATCCACCTTTTCCATCTGACTGCTGCCATGCAAGACTAGTAGGTCCACTGTTCATGTTTTTTAGCTAAGTGTTTATTTGTATTTTTTCTCACAATCAGCAAATATTCACTGAAATAGTTTAAGTATTTAAGTCTATATAAAAGTAAACAAACCAAAAAATCTAATTCAAAAGAATACCAAAAGATAATTTTACTAAATTTAATGACAATCCATTAAGGAGTTATCAGACTATCTTAAAATACCAAACTTAAGAGCTGTGATTCTCAAAGGAAAGGGGTGAGAAGCCTATTCCCAGGGAAGGCTGACACCAGAGTCACTAAGTCAGCTTTATTCAGAACAATACATCCCTCACGCTTGACTCTCAACTGCTATGGAGCGAGCTGTCCTTAAAAGAACTGTCATAATCAAGAACAGCAAATACATTCCTTTTCAAAGGCACAGACACTCGCCTCTCCAACAATCAAAACAATCAAAACTACCCTTAACCAGTGTTTACCAAACTTAATAGGCAGTAAGAATCACCTAGAGATCTTGTAAAAATGGAGATTCTGAATCCATCAGTGCGCCAAGTACCTAAAATATTTCCAAGGCTCTCAGGTTGATGTTGCTGGTCTACAGATCCCATCATGAGTAAGCAAGGCAAAACTGCTCTGTCTTAATTCTTTACTTTTAAAGTTAAATCAGATTTAGATTAACCTGGACTAACAGATTATTTTTAACTAAAAGAAATAAAGTCATTTAAAGTTACTTTACCCAGGAACTGGCTGACTTTTGCTGCTCCTCCGGTAGCCTGCTTTGCTATATAAAGTCCCTTGGTCACAGCTGGACTAACTTCCACTGGTTTTTCTTCTGGTTGAATCCGTTCTCGGAGTTTAGAAGCACCTTTCTGGATGGCTTTGCCAGTAAACTCAGCACCTTTGACTAAACCCCAGCTCACCCAGGAAGCACCTTTTTAAAGGAACATTTTAAATTGCACAAAATTAGGCTTGATTTTACCTTTAAACACTTTAACAAATAATTGATCAATAGGAAAAAAAAACCCAAAGATTTCAATGTTCAGATCCCAAACATGCCATAAATTTTCAAGCCAACTTTGTACTTACAGGGTTCTGCCTGGAATATATGCCTTTTCTAAGTAAACTCATCTTTCAGTACTTCGCATATCACTCAGTAACAGCTCTGTATTAATCCATGCTGTCACTACAAATGGTAGGCATCTCTTTATTTCACTTAGCACAGTACACTACTGTTAGGGGTTAATTTTGGGGTTTGGTGCCATTAATATGGTATTTGGCTAGAGGACCCAGGTATCTTTGTTCTTTATGCCTTATCCAGGCACCAGTTTTCCCCCATAAGTCTTGAGAGAGATAGACACAAACCATGCAAACCAGAAACAACCACCTTTATCTCAAACACCAAGGCAGAACCCCTGCTGTTTGCTTTGGGCCACAGGCATAAGGGCAGGTGTCCCTGCTCCTTCCTTGATCCCAAATCCCTTGATCTCCTTTTTAATTCGCAACTTAAACCTGAACACAGACAGACACAAGAACTCCCAAACAATTCAGGAGATAAAAAATATGAGAGAAGAAAATTGAGAGGCCTAGATGGTTTGGCATTTCTCATGAGAGGAGGCCCTAGCCCTCTGCTTTTTCGCTCATGCTTCTTGCAGCAAGAATGAAAGAAGAGACTGTCAGAAAGAAAGCAGGGTGACAGACTTCTCCAGAAGAGAAAGGCCTTGAGCCAGAGGGCATGTGGGGAAAGGAGGGAGGAGACGGGAGAATCAAGAAAATAAATAGAACAGTTTCCCCTAAAAGGAACCCTCCCCTGGGGAGAGCTAAATCTCCTTTTGGGTTATACCCTGAAACAACGAGCTTTTAAAAATACTTAAGTATGTTCTCCCAAGGTCTGTGTTATGGTTTTTACGTAATTACTTCAGCTGTGAGTGAGAAGGCATTCATTGGTGGAGGGAAGATCACACCTATTTATTTAAAAATGCGAATGAAAAGTGCCAAGTGGTAACTGATTAGAAGAACTGATGTGTTTCTCTTCCTGTTTCAGACAACATGTCCACCTCCAGCTCCAACCCTGTCCCCACTGTCCAACCCTTGGGAGAGGATCAGGTCAGAAACCCAGGCAAACAGATTTCAGCCAGGAGTTTCTTTAACAATAAAGGGATTGAAAATGTCTAACAATAAAAAATATGTATGTGCTTTTGGAGTTAACTGATAGCTTGAAAAGTGTTAAGTAAAAAACAGCTGAACTTGAAGTTCAAGGAAGATTAGTAAATCATAAAACAAATGACAATGAACAAAGGAGAGCTCAAGCAGACTGTACTCCTACAATGAAACTACATCACACAAGAGGGGTGGAGTCCATTGAAGACTTTCAGAAAAATAAATGGAAATGAGATAAATGAAGTATCACAGGACTAATAAAGAGAAAAACTAAATGCAAATATAAACAAGCCGTCACCACGGGAGAACATAATACAGCTCATGCATTAAATCTGTAGAGGTGGCAACAGAAGGTAAGAAAATGCAGTATTTCATTGATAGCCATTAAGATCTTTTACATGGGCTGTGTAATGCCAGGCATAGATCTGTTCTATCCACACACCCAATTAATGCTGAGATACAGCAGGCAGAGAATGAATGCTGACTAAATGAGAGGTTGGCAGATGACTGAAAACGACCTAACTCAAACCCAACCCAGTGGGGGCTCTACTCAGTCTACTGTCACCAATCCTCGGGCTCCTCCCAAATTAGCTTACTAGACTACTCCATCTAAAATGTTTGGCAGCTGCCTTCTTAAAGTGTTAAGCCTAGGCTTCTTAAGTCAGTATCCTACATGTATAAATTTTAAAGTTATTTTACTTTTTTCACCTTTTACATTCATAAAAGGTTAAGACTGTAGCTTTTACTGATCTTTACTCGTCCTCAGGCGAAGGTGAATGAGCTCAATACAGATCCCTGGTTACTCATCCTTGTACAAAGCCTGCATGAGTCAGGCAGAAATAGTCTCTTGACAGATCAGATAATTTTCCTTGGAGTAAATCTTAGCTATTTCTTGCATCTTTCTTTGTTACTTGTACCTTAAGTGTTTGGTGAGCTCGTTTTTCATTCTACCTATTAAAAAGCACATAAGTAGACACTATTCTGACTGGCAGTTAAGAGGTTTTAACATTACTGACTATTAGGGCTATTGCTAGAACTCTGCCCTGAGGTACAGGATGAAAAGCAAAAAAGTTACAAGCCTGAAGACACTGGAAGTCCCAAGTAGTAAAGAAGGTCTATAAATGTTACCAGAACGTAGTTTTTGCTTCTTTTCAAATGATGCACTGCCAGAGTTCTTTTGAGATCTCTGAGAAGAGCTCTCCTCAGGATTAGCTGGCTCTCAGGACACTCTACCTCTTTGAGAAGAACCAGTACGTGGAATCTGTGCAGTACCTAGAGGCCTGAGATTCTGCGGCATGTGATACATTCCAAAGATGGCCAAAAATAGTAACTCCTATTCCACATATTCTTTCAACATGACCTTGACATTCTTCCCATTGAGAACTGTGGTCTATGTAACATCCCTTTGAATCTGGGCAGGCTTGTTACTTGCTTATAAGGAATAATACCGGAAATTTCCAAAAGTATGTCAGAAAGGGTAATGCAGCGTCTGCCTATCTGGTGGACCGTTCACACCTGAACCATGAGCTACTGCGTAGAAGCCAGGTAAGCTTACAGCCGCCATGCTGTGAGGAAGTCAAGGGGTGTGGAGAGGCCGTGTGCAGGCAGTCCTAGATTCTGACCTCTCCCAATCCAGATGCCAGATGTATGACTGAAGGAGCCTGCATGAGACTCCAGCCCCCAGCTACTGAGTCACCAGTCAGCCTTTGAATCTTCCTAGCTAAGGCCTAAGGCTCTGACATCATGAAGCAGATACCACCTTTCCCTGCTACGCCTTTCAGGATACTCGGCCCGCGGAATTCGTAAGAATGAACAGAGGTTTGTTGTTTCAGGCAGTAAGTTTGGGATGGTTTGTTACACATGGATAACATACAATCTTGTAACAGTATAAACTCAAAAAACTTAATTACCTCTGAATTTAGTTTTCCACATATGTGTGGATAAGGGCAAGTTTTCTGAATACTGACCCAATAAAAGCTTAGCAGCCTGTAAAGTCAGGGGTAAGGTAGTAATAGTGAAGGTTTTTTCTTTACAACTTCTTTAAAAATTTCTTTCAAAGGTCAATTTTAACTGTTACACTTATATTTGAAAATCTGGCTTTATCTTTTCTACTTGTCTCAAGCAGCTCTTTGACAATGAGTAAAATATTTTGTTCCTGTCTATTTAATTATTATTTCACTTAGTTTATTGATTTTTCATGCTGAAGATTTCCTCTGTTACAGACACCTTTATTATTTTAACGGGTTTTTAGTACAGAGATGGAAACCTGTATTGACAGTCTTTCAAATAATAGTCAAAATCCCCTACTGGGTCATGAATTTGACTTACTGTATAACGACTGGCAATGTTTTTTAAAAAGCAAATAGGTCTCAATCTGAGAGCTACTACAGTTGAAAAGTTAAAATGTTAACCAACTGAAGTATAAATATATGTGTCAATAATGATCATTCTGGTTTTAAAATAAATGATCGGAAGCCCTTTCTAACCATAATTAAATAGTAGGGCCTACTTCCCAAGGAGCTTTGCTGTAGTTCTCAGATCTTCTCATGCTTGTACTGCTGTGTGGTTAAGGAGTGCTGCTTTGCTTCCAAAGATGGATGAATATCATTTTTTGATGGAGGAAGAAGGGGAAAAGGGGAGGAAAAAAAAAGACTAAGAGACAATTTCAAAGGAAAATAACTAATTTTATGTTCATAACTATTCTGAAAGTTCGGAGATTCTTAAAGGTTTTCACTACTAATTTTCCCAAGAGTGTGAAACAGAGATAATACACCGAGAAGAACTTCCACAATATGATGATGTGATATTCAAAGACACTAGTTCCTTCTACTTTTAAGTATTTATAAACTGATCATTTAGAACCAAAATATAAAATATTATCTAAATATTCTGTAATGTGACCCAAAGGTTTCACATTATAAGGGAAAAAATTACTATACTACCTGACAAAATGTTTTGAGCCACTTTCTCACTCCATTCAGGTAATTCCTTTGTTTTTTCTTCTGAAACAGGCTCGCAGGGTACAGTGTGACTCAGATTAACGTCTTCATTTGAAGTACCTTTGGCCTAAATAATAAAAATATTTCAAAATGTGAAACAATGAATACTAACAGGGAGAAAATCATAAGCACTTTGTAATAAAATATTAAGCCAACAAATAGTAATTAATGAAAATATTTCCAGCCAACTTAGTTATCAATACATTTTACTACATAAAGGTCAATACCATAACTGCCATTGAGCTGAAAACTGTGCTGGTCTTATGTAAGGTCCCCCTGGTAAGTAAGATTTAAATACCAACATATTGCCAATACAGCACTCATTAAATCATATTTAAAAATTGACTAACTTTTTTCTTTCCTTGATTAGACTAAGTTCCTTCATAGAGCTATCATCCCCTTGATATTAGTATACACCCAGTACTCAGTAAAGTTAAAAGATTTTTGTTAAATCACTGAATCAGTAAAGGAAAATGTATCCAAATAAACTGGTTTTGATAGAAATCAAGTAAAAACAAGTAAAAATATATAAACACAAAATCTGCCATTCGATCTGAATGGAAATGGAAAACACAGAAATACCTATACTTTGCTAATTTTATAGCTAGGGCCAACACTCTAAAATCTCAAAGTTAAATTTATTTTCATTCTAAAAACTTTTGAGTAGGCTAATTCAGACCTCATAATATTATAAAATAACTTGAAACTCAAACTCCTTAAAAAAATACAAACACAACTTCACTTAAAATATAAAACAACATTAAAAGCAAAACAAAAACTTCTACATGGGGCAGAAAAACCACTCATAAATAAAACCTAAATACGAACTGAACAAAATACTTGCAACTTCTATCCTTGACTATGGGCTGATGTCCCTAATATGTAAAGAGCTCTCAGAAACTGAGAAGAAAAGAACTAGCAACCCAGTAAGAAAATGGATAAAGGACATGATTAGACATCACAAAGAAAACATAATTCAAGAAACCTCTAGGCAGATGCTCAACCTCACTAATAATAAAATCAAAAATGCAAATTAATAAATTCTAATATACAATTTCTCATCATCAGATCACCAAAATACAGAGCGACCACCCAGTCTGCTGACTAGGCTGTTGGGAGACAGGCGCTCTCACGCAGTGCCGTGGAGTGCTGAACAGTATAATCACCAGGGAGGGCAACTTAGCAAACTCTATCAAAATCACAAATGTACTTATCTGTTGACACAGCAATCCCACTTTTAAGAATTTATTTGATGAAATTACCTATAGATGCATGAATCGATGGCTCTGCAAAGTTATTCACTAAAGCACTGTTTGTAACAGCAGTCACACCAAACACCCCTCAATAAGAGACTGATTGAAGGAACTATGATATATTTATACAATGAAATACAAAGTAGCTGTAATAAAGACTGAGGAAGTTCTCTATTTACCCCAGATTACTATCAAAAAATATATACACTGAACACTCTATATGATGTTACCTTTGTATAAGAAAGGGAGACAAATAATAACAGATTTTCTCTGTTTTTATCTGCCTAAAAAAATCCAGGAAAGAAACACAAGATCCTAATAAAAGCAATTACCTACAGGGGCAGGAGGAAAGACGTAGAAGCAGGGACACGGTGGGAATAAAGTTTTTCAATGTATCTACCTTTTTATATAATTTGATTTTTTTAACTAAGAAATTAAATTTAAAAAATGAAGTTTTAAATTCCATTTTGGATCCCCAATGTCCTCATCAAGCTAGTCTAAGATGCTCAACATAACCCACAGTGAC